CGCCAGCTTTGCGGCAGCTTCCACGGGGTCGGGGTGCACCCCTCTTGGTGCCGGCACCCGGTGCTGGCGATGGGGACGCCGCCCTTTCCACTCACACACGCACAAAAGCAACTGTCGCCCCACACCTCTCCCCCGCAGTGCGCGGTGCGGAAGGAGGCAGCAGAGGGGAACATCGAGGAGCAGCTGCGCGACAAGGAGGCCTACGAGGCCGAGAACGCCGCCAACGCGGCCAAGCTCGCCGAGAACGAGGCCACGGTGCGTTTTGCTTTTGGAGGGGGGAGTGATGTGGGCGAGCTGGAGTGCCGCTGAGGGTTAGGGGGCCGTCTTGCTGAGCACCGCAGATCCACGGCCTGGACTGTCATCATGGGTGAAGGGGGGTGCAATCGAGGCCTGCACCCCAGTAGGCAGGGAGCGCGCGGATTGCCAAGGGCTTCTCTCGCCCTTTTAGCACGCCCGCCGACATGTCGTGGTGCCGCTTGTCGCCCTGGGGTGCAGCGCCAGGCACAGCGTGCCGCACCACTCCGACCCCACACTCACCTCTTTTTTGCTTGCTCCGCACAGATCCGGACGCTGCGGGAGCGGCTGCGGGAGGTGAGGCAGGCCCACGAGGCTCAGCGTGCCCAGGTCCTCACCCAGTATGCAGGCCTTCTGGAGGAGGTGGGACATGCTGGCGGGGGGGAGGGTCGGCAGTGGCAGGCTCTTGGGTGGGAGGCACTTTTCGTGAGCTCAGATGGCACATAACTCAATGATCTCGGGGAGGGAGGCCCCATCAACCTCATCGCCTGCCATGGCGACCCACACCATGGGATGACCATCACGTCTACACCAATGAACTTCTCCCACGCAGGTACGGACCTACCATGGGGAGCTCACCTCCGCCATGGAGGGCAGAGGACCTGGCAGGAGGGAGGTGACGGAGCACACCGCCCTCCTGATTCGATGATGTGCATGACCAAAGTTGGCCAGGGGGTTGTATGCCGACGCCCAGGTATCTGTGAGCGCTCCAACATTATTCCAGCTGTTCAGGACGACGCCACAATCCAACGATGAACGAGTTCCTCATGATGTGGTGAGATCATCATGAAGAGACCCAGGAGCGGAGTCTGTGAATGCTGGGTCGATCCTGAAACGAGCTCTGTTTCATCTGTGGGACTCTTAAAAACGCACGCTTACTCCTGTGAGGGGATAGAACCTTATGGTGCTTTCCATCTGACACGCTGCTGCCAGCGGCTTGATTTCATGGTGTTGGGAAGGCACGGCACCCTGCCCGCTGGCTCGCCGCATCCCTAACAATCGCCACAGAAATGTTTGTTGTTGCCACAGCCGGAAAGGTCATATTTCCGTGCGCATATATTCCTGAACATATTGCCCTGTGTGAAAATACACCATAGCCCCATTACGGTGAACACGCCATGCTGTCGAGGCTTGCTTGTGTACCTGAGCACGTGCCGTACACCCGCAGGGGAAGGCGGAAGACACGTCGCCTTATGTGAGGGGCCAGTCGAGCATGGAGACGAAGACGATGCACAGATGCGAGTTTCAACATCAAGAATTGCACCAGCATGGTGTGTAAGTCGTCCCCTAGGATGTTTCGCACCATCGGCGATGCCCTTGGCAAGATCGCGGGGTGTGCGGGACCGATGTAGCCAATACCCGATCCTCACAGCCGAAAAAGCTTGACAAGGTAATTAGTATCCAATATATTGAATTTCTTTACCTTGGTGGAAATCGGGGGCAAATTGGTCAGTTCAAGAAGAGTACAAGCATCTGAGGTGCCTAAGATGCAACCTCGCACGACTAACACCGCCAGGCGCCGCGGCGGCCCATACACGACCTTGCACACCTTCGCCCTCTCATTCCTGACCATAACTGAGGCAAGGTGGGCGATTCCAAGAGCTCATGGTCCAGAAACATTCCTTGTAAATCGCCCAACATATTATAGCCGTGGAACTTTCTGCAATCGGCCCCTGGACGGTGCTGGTCGACTCCGACCCCTCTACCAAGCCATATTGTTGTAGTCCAGTGCCTCGAGGCTGCCAGCCCCAGCACCTTGCCTGAAACCAGCCCGACCCCGCCAGGATCCAGCCCCTCTCCATACACAAGTCCCTCACCAAGCCCCGGGCCATCCCCATCGCCAGCTGAAGTACCAGCACTTGATGGTCTATGGGCCACGGTCAACAATGGAGGGGAGTCCTACAGCTTTGTGGCATCTGTGGAGATCGAGTTCCCGGCCACCTCAGTCACCTGTGCGCTTCGGGACCTCAGTAACAATCCGATCAATACATACACCACGTTCTTCCCTGCGTCTAAAACCGCCACTTTCAATGTGCCAATCACTTATGAGACATATGCAGATGCCGAGAGTGTCGTTTGCGTTGCCACTGATGAAGAAAACAATGTCTCTGCACCGGCATTCCTGACGGACAACAACTAGTGATGCAGGTGTCGCCCTTGCAATCCAAGACCCGCGGATTGACCTATGGTGATTCCCATCCATATTTTACGAACTTCGCCTTTCCCTTGCCATCCCATCCACTTGTGATATAGATTATTCACAGGAGTCAACGAATGCAGCTTTGGGGCAGATTGTGCTTGGTTTGCGACGTGGTTTCTAGCATCAGTGCCTGGCGGCTGATCTTACATTCGAACGGCTCTTGGGTGTCAGGGTTTGGCTGCTACAGCCTCTGCAAGCCTATGTTCATCAAGATGCGATTCCCGTTACTCCTTCCTGGGCCCCTGTTGCTGTGCGGTCGAGACTGAAGTCTGCCTTTCTGGAGATACAACAGGTGCATCAAGAGCTTCAAAATGTCTTTGAATCCAGACGCATTCGAATGGAACTCAGGCATTATTCTTAGGGCGATCCTATGGAGCCGTCATGTTTGGTTGCCTCCAAGGCCGCTGTTAAACTCCTGCCCGGCTGTTCATAAAGGTGACCATCCAGTAGCCCTCCCTATCCTGTCACCTTGTGGAATATAGAAGCGAATCAGGGATTCTTACCAATCGCAAAGGTGATCTTAATCAGCCTCACTCCCACGGAACTCCGGTCGCAGTCCTTCCCGTCCTGCAGCTGTACAGTGGCCCGCGGTCATGTGACGTCGACAAGTGAGTCTCGGCCGGACCGACCCAAGCTCAGTCCGCGCCAAGTAAGTCAATGACCCCATAGACTGGATGCAACCTAAATAAGTCCAAATTGTTCCATATATGCTCGGTATAGTCCTGGTTCCTGGCGTCTCGTGCATGTGGTCGTGGGCGATTTCGTTGGTCGGACCGACGGCCAGCCCGGGAAGATTGTACAGACGGTGACTCGGTCAGTGAGGGCTGCCAAGTACACCTTGGAGCTCCTCCACATCCGATTCACATTACTGAGTCAGCAAAGGAACATTACAAAGGGGGTTTTACCCCTATTTAGTTACTGCGGGCTGTCTGGTATAGGGAGTTAGCAAGAATGCGTGTACAGCTGAGCAACGGCGCATGCGCAACGGTGCTCATCTTTGCACTCGCCCTCTTCACCACGGCGGAGTCAAGGTGTATACATGGACATTTTGAAGGGTTGGAAGGCTCCACACGCAACATTTCGGTCATGCACGCAGCGAATGGTGTAGCAACGTCATCCCGACAAAATCCGCTCGAGTGCTCCGACCCCCCTGCCCAAGAACATCCCATGATCAAGGGTTTCTTCCTTGTTACCCCTCAGGTCCTTGACGTCCGCCTCAGGGGTGGCATCTGGGTCGGCTTCGGGTATTGGAGCCAGTGCTGCGTCGACCGTCCAGGCGATAAGCTCGCTTGAGGGCTCTTCCGTGAAAGGAGTCGGCAGCGGGCAGGCAGGTTCTGTGGGGGTGCAGTGGGGATGGGATACCTCAGTACCAAAGCATGCTGCCAACTCACAGCGACTCCCGATAGCACACCATGCAAACCCCCATCATGCAGGCCTCGAGCGATGGGGTGCTGCCCGCCTCCTCCTCGGGAGGCTTTGCAGGAAGCTCCAGTGACTCGGGCAGGTCTGCAAGCACCCTCGCACAGGTCTCTGCCACCACCTCCCGTCCAGGGGCTGCCGAGGCTCGTGCCACCGGTTCCGCCGCCAGCGACAGCACAAAGGCCACGGTGAGCGAGTGCTGGGGATTGCTCTGGCCAGGTAATCTCTGGGATGCCCCCTCATCACTGCAGGGGATTACCTTTGTGCAATCGCCACAGGCATGTCAATCCTCTTTCCCCTCTTTTCGCCTGCAGGCCGAGGCAGGTTGTGTCAGGCGCACACCAGGGGCTTTGGACGCAAACGAGTTGGCAGGCGCAGGCGTCATTGTTGGAGTCCAGTGCCTCGAGGCTGCCAGCCCAAGCACCACGCCTGACACCAGTCCGACCCCGCCAGGACCCAGCCCCTCTCCAAACGCCAGTCCCTCACCAAGCCCCGGGCCATCCCCATCGCCAGCTGAATTACCAGCTCCATATGGGACCTGGGAAGCGATCAAAGATGGTGCGAATTCCCGCATCATGTTGTCTGTGGAAAGTGAGTTTGCGGCCACCTCGGTTACCTGTTCAGTTCGAAACGATAGGGATTATGTGATGGATACATTCACGAGATCCATCGACCCTGCTACTCGTACGGCCACATTCAATGTGCCAATCGACTATAGGACCCTTGTAGATATCAGGAGTGTAGTTTGCACTGCTTCCGACCAAAACAACAACATCTCTCCGGAGGGACTTTTCAACAACAGCACCCCCACGTAATCCCGGATTTGTAATGACGAGATATCACGCTCGAGGAGCTATCTGTGGTGAATTTTACTCCATCCGCAGTGTGCTTCCTTCCAACCCTCCCACCCCATCTTCTAATTGTGTGAAAGATTCGCCGGAGTGCAAGGACACAGCATTGGAGGAGATTGTGTTTGATGAGCAGGAATCTCATAGCCAGCAGTACATGACGGCTGACTTAACAACTGATGGCGACGTGGATGTCAGGCTTTTTGCTGGTGGAGTTTTCTGCAAGCCCCTTGAAGTATTAGTTTCTATGGTACCCTCCCAGAGTAAAGCATTGTTGGACCGTTAAGATTCGTTTCTGCCTTTCCTGCGGTGGAACTTGTGGCAGGACTGGCTCCTAATGGTGCAAGGGGGGGCGTGACCCGTCAGCAAATGAATGCAAGGGAATACCTTGTTCCAGGCTTGCGCCGGTTGCAAACAGCTTCTTCCCGCAAATGGGTTACCGCTGGCGCAGTTGGTTGCCTGGAATGGCGAACCATTGGGAAAGGGGGAGGGGGGGGGGATTGGAAAGGGGGCCAGGCCCCCCCAAAAGCTGATGGACGAGGTGCATTCGCAGAGAAGCACCTGGTCAGCATGAGCATGTTGACAACTACGTACATGTTACGGTTTACAACATGGACTTTGCTGCCCGTTTTGGTACACCGCTTGGTGTCCCACATCTCTATCCGCTCCTCCACGCCGTCGCAGACCTGTTTGTGCTGGTGGGCATGCAGGGAGGTGTGACAGCCGCAGCACAGTTGAAAGTCCTGTGCTGGTCAACCACCACCACCCTGCACACGCGCCGCAGGCGCCCCAAGGAACGTATCCAGGGCCTCGGCGGAGTCCCCCGCATGATCCCCCCTCCGTCCTGGGCCGACCAGTTGCCCACGCCGACGATGGTAGTCATGCGCGGGGGGGCGTGGAACTGCTCTGCCTGCCAATTGATGGCCCGCTCCCTGCCGACGTAGGCATGGTGCCGCTGCTTGCGGAAGGGCTTCTTGTAGATGCGCCAGGCCAGGCCCCGTCGCTGGTAGGGAATGATCCACGCAACCCGCAATAAAAGGACCTCTGTGCTGGCTGTCTTGTGGGTTGGGCACCTGTGGGAAGATGGGTTTGAGCAAGGAGATTGGTACAGTTGGAGCAATGCGGGGTGTCGTGACACAGTGCCCGCCCCTGTGGGGCCTGTCCCAGCATACACCCCACACACCAAACACCACTCACTTGTGCAGCTTCTTGACATAGGGTGGGGCCTCCGCGTGCCACTTCCCAATAGTCTTCTCCCGCCGCTTGGACCCCAACATGGCGTGAAACTCCTTGAGGAGAGGGACGTGACATCAGCGTGTTCGTCCACCGCGGTAAACATCTTGGTCCGCCCGGGGTCGATGCCGACGTACTTGTCTATCCTGGCATCGTCTGGAGGGGGGTCCTGCCTGCAGAGGTGTGTATAGGTGGGTGGTATGGGGTGAGTCGTGTTGTAGGAGCGCGGCAAGTGTGGGTGGTTGGCGGGGGAATGGGTGGGTGGGAAAGATGGGTGCACCTCGCTGCTAGTATACACCACATCCACAGTCACTCCCAGGAACAGAGCAGCCAACACTCCCGCACCACTTGCAAGTGTCCCAGGCAATCACAGCAGCATGTCGACTAGCCAGGAGATCGATCCCCAGCAGCACACACCCCATTGGTACAGTCACGGACCACTCACCGGTAGTATTCGTCGGCGATTCCCCTGCCCTTTGGGGCGCCCAAGGGCGCCCGGCTGCGGTCGCGTTTGCCGCTGGTCTTTGGGGTGTCGGGGGGGCGGGGTGGGGGGTCGCCGGGCCGGGGAGGTCCTCTCTGCCGCCGCAGGGTCACCGAGACGCTGTAGCCGTTGGTCCGCCAGTGCCCCGCCGAGTACAAGCCGCAGCCCTAGAAGCGCCGGAAGTTGAAGAGGACGGTGAAGAAGGCCCAGCCGATGTGGACAAACCAGTCCGTCTTCGTCTCCTCTCTGCCGCCCGTCTTCTTCTCGTCCTCTTCTTCGCCACCTTTCCCTTTTCGCTCACCTCCACCTCGAACTCCTCCAGTTTGCTGTGGAGGCGGGTTTCGATCGCCCTGCGTTTCTTGGCGGTGATCTTTGTGCCGTCAGTGGCACAGACCTTCTCGAGGTTGAGGACTTTCAGCACCTGAGATTGGAGGGATTTGCTTGGGGTTGGTGTGGGTGATGGGCAGTAGTGGGTTCAGGACTCTCCCATGGCAAAACACCGCTGCAAACCGGTCCACAGAGTATTGAACAGTGAAGGGCAACCCTACCGAAGCTTCCCAAGGAAAGCAGCCCGTGGTCGAGGTAAATAGCAGAAGGCCTCTCTGCAACACAAAACCCCCTCCACCACAGTATCTAGCGACGTCCCTCACCTCAACCGCCGTGTACATATTCCACTCCCTCTCAGTGGGCAGCTGCAGCCCCGTCAACTTCTCAATGTTGTCCTTGTTGTATTTCTCATGACGCTGAAGCAGCGCCAGCAGCGTCGTCAAAGTGCCAGGAATGTGCACCGCCTCCAGGCCCTGCTTGTAGGACAGGAGGCTGAACAGCCGCGCGATGTGCCGCTGTGGCGTCGGTTTCTGGGGCGGGGCTGCCGTCGACTCTCTCTGCGGCCTCCTTGCGCTTGGCCAGCGCCGCCCGTCGAGCCTTTCCAAGGCCCCGCCGCCTATTGGGGATGCCCTCGTCCTTTTGCGCATTGTGCTGCTTTGCACCCTCCGAGTACCCTTCATGCGCCACAATATCACGCCCCCGGAACAAGTCGCAACTCCCCCTTCCATGGACATCCCCCCTCAAATATTGTCAAATAAGCCTTTTCTAGATCTTAACATGCTTGTTCGCGATGCGAGGCCCCCTCGTTTGGTCGATAGATTTTCCAGTTTTGCAGGGCTTTGCCATGTGACGCCGGGGTGCGAAAGCGCCGCACGATGCAGATTGTTCTGTTGAATTATCATTGTACCGGATAGAGTATCGATCTCAAGGGCGATGGAACGCCGTATGCACATATCAGTCGTGCTGGATGCCCGGGGCCTCAGAAGGCCAAGAGCGGTGCGTGGGGGGATTCCCCACCCCCATCGCCCGTCCGAGGGTAATGCTACCCTGCACACGCGTTGCCTGCCTGCTTGCTGATCCAGTAGATTACAAACATGGGATTCACAAAAGGTGCAAGGTCATCTTGGCCCTCATTTGCTTGCTGAGGCAGTCTGCCGCCTCTTGCCACACCCCCTCTCAAGGTGGGAGCGGATGCGACATGCTTTGCATTTGACGTGCCGCTCGTAGGGAATGGTCTCAGCCGACCAAGCAGGCAGCACAGGTGCATTACCTTCCACAAGGTACTTGCAGGGTGCCTCGCGCTCCTCCTGCGCTCCGTTCTCCATGACTAGGTGGCCCCATGCCGCCAATCGCTTGTATTTCTCGTCGACCTCTGGATCACTCTCAGGTGGAGGGCCGGTTTGCATGGGATGCTGAGTAGCGACGCAGGTGTACCATTACTGTCCACAAGGTGTGGACTGATGGCACTGTCTGGTCTCTGAATGTCAGGCTCCGCGGATGTCGAGGCCAGGTCAGGTTAGGTGTCAAGAGGCTGCACTGTTGGCAACGAGATGTTTCCCGTCATGCACAGCAGGTCGCGCCGGAGAGCTGTTGCGATCGATTCGGACTCCTCTCGCGCCCCATGCTGGCAGCAACTTCATGGCTCAACACTAGGCTCATTTACAATCGTTGGATTTATCAACATTCCCTGTGGATCTGTTCCCGGAGCGGATACTTGTGTGGCAGAGGAAGCGATGGCGACAGCGGCTGTGGTTGACACCACGCCCTCTACCTTTCCCCCCACCCTTCAGAACGTACTGGATCAGACCAGTTTGAAATGGGTGTTTGTCGGGGGAAAAGGAGGCGTAGGTAAAACGACCACGGCCTGCAGCCTGGCCGTGCAGTTGGCAGCAGTGCGGGAGAGTGTGCTGATCATCTCGACAGACCCCGCTCACAACCTGTCGGATGCGTTTCGCCAGAAGTTCGCATCCGTGCCGTCCCTGGTGCAAGGCTTCACCAATCTGAGCGCCATGGTGCGTCAAGGGAGGCCCCGGTTGCCAGAGCGAGGGAGGTGTGTTTTGCGTGGGGGCGTCGCCGATGTGAGCACCCATCATTGTGCATGGCACGGGACAGGCATGTCACTCTACCGAGGGTTGCTGAGTTGAGGACGATGGCACACCATCGCCCTGCACTTCATGCAGGAGGTGGACCCCAACCCCGGCACCAATGAGCTGTCGGAGCTGGCAGGGCCCGGCTCCTTTCTGGCAGACATCTCCAGCTCCATCCCCGGCATCGATGAGGCCATGAGCTTCGCCGAGGTCATCAAGCAGGTGTGTTGGTGCATGCTTGAGGCGCGACGCCTGCCTGCCGCCACAGGGAGGGCATGCGATGGGAGACCAGCTGTCTCGCTCCGGCTGGAGAGACTGATGCTTGATGGCCAACACATGCCTCTGCACCCCTTAATTTCCCGCCCCAACAACCTCCCAGGTCAACAGTTTGGACTACAGCTGCATCGTCTTTGACACGGCGCCAACCGGGCACACGCTGCGGCTGCTACAGTTCCCCACCACCCTGGAGAAGGGGCTGGGCAAGCTGATGAGCCTGAAGGAGTCATTTGGGGGGATGCTGAGCCAGGTCACTGCGCTGCTGGGTGCAGGCGGTGAGGGCGACATCATTGAGCAGGCCTCCCAGAAGCTGGTTGCTCTCAAGGTGGGGCATCGGCGATGATGGCGTATGGGAGAGGTAACGGTGGGGTTGGGGCCAGGATTGAGCCTGGCGGCCGGCAGGCGTGTACCTCAAACAAGGCAGCTCCTCCTTGCCAGCAGCACCATCTTCCCCTCTTGGGGCGCCAGGCCTTTGGCACCCACCTTGCATCCCATGCCCTCTTGCCTCTGGAGCACCCGCCCTTTCCCAAAGGGTTAGCGTGAGCAGATGGATATAACTCCGCCCTCCCCCACTTCAGGGGGTCGTGGAAGAGGTGAACCGGCAGTTCAAGGACCCTGCCATGACCACCTTTGTCTGCGTGTGCATCCCGGAGTTCCTGTCGCTCTACGAGACCGAGCGCCTCATACAGGAACTTGCCCGATTCAGCATCGATTCCCGGAACGTGGTCATCAACCAGATCATCTTCCCGGATGGAGGTGGGTGGCCTTGAGATGGGGCGGTGTTGCGGGGGGGACATTGAGAAATGGAGCCTGACGATGGGGCCAGCACCCCTCGCTGCATGCTGCCGCCGGGCTTGAGCCGCCGGGCGGGCGGGTATCGGAAGCCATCCTTGAGCCAGCGACAGATCCTAGCTCTCACCTCGCCGTCCGGACCCCGCAGTCGGGACCTCGCGCCTGATGGAGGCGAGGGTCAGGATGCAGCAAAAGTACCTGGACCAGTACTTTGAGCTGTACGACGACTTCCACATAGTGCAGCTGCCTCTCTTGAACGAGGAGGTGACGCGCTGGGATATGAGGGGTGTGGGGATCCACAGACTGCCCTGTGCTGGCGTGGACTGGGCGCCTGGTGCGGGATGGAGGAGTCGCCGAGTCCATGCAAGGGCATGGGTGGAAAGCCATTGCCCCGCCCTTCTCAGTATCCTCAACGATGCACATGGCCTCTCGCTGCAGGTTCGGGGTACGGAGGGCATCAGGGCCTTCTCCAAGCACTTGCTTCAACCCTACAGCGTGGCCGAGCCAGGGAGGGAGGAACTGGAGGCGGAGCTGGCCGTGACCAAGGCCAGGGTTGAGCAGTTGCAACAACGACTGCAGATGCTGTCATCCACAAATCCATAGCAGCCTTGCATTCTCTTCTTCGTTGTGAGCTATTCTTTAGACAATGGAAGTGTGAGTGCGGCCTGGACACTATCATAAGAGAGTTTGACTGCTTGCTGAGCTGGTCTTCAAATCAAGCTTAGCCGTATTGATGAACAGTTGGCGACCGGGAGCTCCCTCAAGGTCATTACACTTTATCAAGGATTGGACGGGTATCTGAGCACCCCCCGCTCGCGACCTGCAATCCAAGCAATCGCATGGCCAGCACGCTCTCCCCCGTGCATGGCAAAGTGGTGCTGGTGCTGGGGGCGAGCGGCATTGTCGGGGGTGGGGCAGCCCTGGGCCTTGTGCAGCTCGGGGCAAACGTGATAGCACCTTTTCGATCTGGCGAAAGCAAAGAGGCATTCTCAAAGGAATTCGGACATTATCCGAGTTCACAGCAGTGGGACGCGCCGGTCGTAGACTACAGCACAGAGCAGGGCCTGCAGGACCTGGCTGAGTACATTCGCAGCGAGAGGGGCGGGGTGGTGGACCATATCTTCGCATGCATGGGAGGCAGTGTCGCGAAAGGTGAGATGTGGGCGGAGCACTTCTAGGCAACGGGCTGTGTTGCCTGCCTATAGACCCTTGCTCTAGATCTCCCCACCCAACTGCCCCCACAGGTCCCCTGTCGGTCCTGCCAGCTCCAGAGCTGGAATCGGCACTCTCGCACCGTGTCTTCAGCCAGGTATTGGCAGCCAAGTACCTGTTACCTCTAGTGCGACCCACACCCGACAGCTGCTACCTCGTCACCACAGGAAGGCTCGGTGCGCGTGTTGGAGCAGGAGGGTTGGCTGCAGGGTAAGGCACAAAACATGCTAATCTGCTTTGCATCAGAGCAGACCCTCCACATCCCATACACATAGGCGAGTCCTGCCCAGCTCCGGAATGGGCTATATACACACTCGTCAATGCTGCAGTCTACGGTGTCGTGGCAGCCTTGCGCAGCGAGATTAAGACCCATCGATTGCAAGAGGTGGGCTGCCAGGCTCATCGGATGATGTGGTGATTCTGATGCCCCCAGCACCCTGGGCCAGGAGCTTGAGCGAAATAGACCCTTCATCGTTTCACATCTCATCAAGCCCGCTATGATCGCAAGTGCAAGTCGCCAAGCCGGTGCGTTTGGGCGACAGGCCTCCCCACCCTCATCTTGCCAATGACCATCACCGCCGCTCTGCCCATGCAGCTGCGGATCGGGGCGGTCATCCGTCGAGATTCGGAGCCGTTTCACCACCAGTGGCCGGATCTCAGGTCACACCCGGCCAGCAGCCTGGTGCCCAGCATCCTGAGGATACTCAGCGGCGAGGTTCGCGACGACATCGTGCGCTGGACTGCCGAGGAGCATTGAAGCACTTTTCGCTTGACGCAGGGGGGGCCGCGTCGCCACTCAGCACTGAAGTCCCATCCGCTGGATGCATTGCGACACTGTGTGTGATTATACTCCAAAGTAGTCCTTGCTGAATTAATCGTGTGTTTTCCACGAACATCTGGGAACATGCGAGCGCAAGGACAGGCGTGCGCTGCGAAACCCTAGCGTCCAATGAAGTCGGAGCTGGCGGGAGGAGGCGTACGCCCGATTGCTGGCCCCGCGTCAGATATTCCCATTAAAAGCATTTGATGACCTCAGTGCCACAAATTGCAATCATTTAAGCAGTCTCGCCCAGAAGGACTCTATCCCAAGGTGTGGGGCGTTGGGTTATGGGAATATGGAGGCCCAAGCCTCTCATGATGGCGTACGCCCACATCCAATGTATGTGCGCAGCCTTTGCGCACATGCGCATCGCCACATTGGTCGGCCGCGGCAGCGTGGGCCATGTTATTTTTGTTACTAATTATTAACCCCATATCTTCGCAGGTGTAAACGAGTTGCCCATCAAGACCAGGGCCTCCCCCTACCCGGTGAGTACCACCGAGATGACGTCATGACACACCCCCCCCCGCCCGATGCCTCGTCTGCCCGCCCGCCCAGGCATGAGCCTTTCTCCCCTCACTGACAACCCCATACTACCGTCCCCCGTGCAGACACCATGGCCAAGCTCCTCGCCCTACTCATGCTGTGCATGCTGAGCTCCGCCCTGGCTGCCCGCACCCTGCACCAGAGTGACGACGACGGCGACGGTCGGTATGACGGCGAGGACAGCGCCGGGCGGTACGAGGGCGGCACCCGCTACGGCGAGGGCGCGGCGGCCAAGGCCCCCAGCGCCGAGGCCGGGAGCAGCCGCTACGGCGGCGGCCCCAGCACCAGCCGCTACACCGGCGAGGAGAGCGAGGACCGCTACGAGGAGAGCACCACCACCCGCTACGACGGCGAGAACGACGGCGGTCGCTACGAGGGTGGCACCCGCTACGGTGAGGGCGCCAGGGCCCCCACCTCCGAGGGCCGGTACGGCTCCAGCGCCACCACCCGCTATGACGGCGAGAACGACGGCGGTCGCTACGAGGGCGGCACCCGCTACGGCGAGGGCTCCAAGGCCCCCACCTCAGAGAGCCGGTACGGGAGTCCCTCCACCACCCGCTACGAGAGCGAGGAGGAGGGCGGCCGGTACGAGGGCGGCGCGCGGTACGAGGATGACGACGAGCGTTACGATGGCCAGAACAACAGCGGGCGGTACGAGGGCGGCGCCTACGGCGGCCGCAACTCCACCAGCAACGTGGTCCGGTGGACGCGCGGGACCAATTACACGCCGCTCGACGTCACTGTCGGCGACACCATCACCTTCCAGTGGTCCGGGGGCTCCCCCCACGACGTCGCGACCTCTCCCGGCCCCGGCGTCTGCACTGACCTGATGCCCCTGGTGGAGGCCGCCGAGTCCGGCTCCTACCCCATCACGTTCGAGAGGCCGGGCACCTTCACCTACGCCTGCTCCGTGGGCGAGCACTGCCTGGAGGGCCAGATCGTCACCGTAAACGTTGTCGCCATCTCCTAGGCTGGGAGCCGGCGCAGCCGCGTCACAAGACAGGACCCCCTCTCAGGCCTCCCCCGCCGAGCGTGCATGGGGATTCCTGCTCTGGTAGCTCATAAGCTACAATTTACGTTTGAAGATACCATCGTCTGCTGTTAAACCCTTCAGGGTGCTGCGCCTTGTCAAGCAGGGGCAGGTGGCAGGGGCAGGTGACACGGGCAGTGTTCCAGGGATGAGGGCTGCTGGGGAATGTCACCTCGAGGGCGCGCGAAGGATCTGGCTCGATGCAGGCCCTGATGGAAAGCGTGGCCTGCCAGAATATTTGAACAACTGGGTGCATGCAAGGGCTAGATGTCAAACCTCGTCATTTTTGCTCCGATCTGTAATAAGGTGCGTGGGATCCTCTTCCTAAACTCCCTTGAGGATGCAAGGGGGGTTGATGGGGGTTGAGGGTCACCATCGAACGTGTTGCGAGGTTCGAGCGGGACCTGCCATTGCCGATCTCGTAAACCCGCGAGGATCCCCGCCGATGCGCTCGTCAACCTGTTTGTAATGAATCAAATCATGTGATACACCCTTGCTGTGCCCCTCTCATTCCCGCAGGACCAAGGTCCGAGGACCCTCGACGTCCCCTGGGAGTGATCGGGAGCTCAGGTACCGCGCACCCCCCGGCATGTCGGCATGTTGCCACCCTTGCAACCCCCCTTGCATTGAACAGTTGTTCATCATCGCGAACTCTTCGCCAGCACATCTCCCCCTTCTCGCTGTATAGGATTCCTTACCATGGCCAAGTTCACCCCCGTCCTCCTCCTCTGCCTCTTGACCGCCGCGGCGGCCAGCCGCGTGTCCCTGCGCGATCTGGGCAGTGCAGGCCGCAAGCTGCAATGTGCGCGTGTGGGCAGGCTGGGGGCCCTGGGTCTGCACCCGCCCGGTCCCAGCAATGAGCCCGCCTCGGCCCCCTGGGTGCGTCTGTCCCACGTCCTCGCAGATCCATCCCCTGAACACCCCGCCCCTCCCTCCACCCTGCAGCCGATTCTCTGCGCATCGTGTGGCGCCTGGGCATCACCTACGAGACCATCTACCTCGTCGTCGGGGACTCGGTGAGCGTTGGGTGCTGCCTGGAGCAGGGGAGCCCGCATGCTGGGTGGCGGCGGCTGGAGCCATGCACTAGGCCACGCTGCGCCGGCCCTCGGACCCCCTGCCCCGGCCCCCTGTTCACCACAGGCGACCTTCAGGTGGGCTGGGGACGGCGAGCACAGCGTGGCGCTGGCTCCTGGGCCCGGCATCTGCACTGGCCTGCGGGAAGTGAGCGAGGATGGCGAGCAAGGGGAGTACACCGTCACCTTTGGCACGCCCGGGACTTTTGTCTACACCTCCGACGAGAACAACGACTGCGAGTCCGGCCTGGCCATCGTCATTGTGGTGGAGAGCGACGGTGCGGGCCAGGGAGGGGGGTCATTGGGGCTGCCTGCAGGGGAGCTGTCCAGGATGGCTGAGGATGAAGGGGTTTACCGGCAGAGCAGCAGCCGCAAAGATTGGACTGCTTGCCCCTCCTCAGATGTACATTCACATACTCATGCAGATGGAGCTCCTGAGATGGAGCTGTACGTCTGAATTATGCATAGCTGGTAGATAACCGTACGGTGCTTGCTGACAATGGCCGCCCTGACCTCACATGTCATAGCGTGCCTGTGCTATGTTGCAGTTGTAGTTGTAGTCCTCCCCATGTAGCAATAGCTCTGTAACTTTTAGATTTTCCAAGTCGACCCAAGAAAACTGCAGAGAACGTGGTAAGAATCCACGTGTGGTGTTCTTGGGTGGCAGGCTTGGGCCTTGTGGCAGACTTTGGGGCATCCATGCTGGCATCGCTTCATGGCCAGCACCTAGACGACTAGTTGAAGAGTTATCCTGCACTCCAAACTGTTGAAGTCGCATTTGAATAGATCGGAAACAGAGTTTGGCACTCCTTCTGCGCTCGGTCAACCCATGCAGAGCCTGGGGTTTCGAAAAAGACCTGGAACTCCGAGATGAATGTGCGCCGAGACATACTGGGCGCTCACAGATACTCGAAGCTGCCAAAGAGTTGGCAATGAGATTGAGTAGATGCAGGACGGCTCGAGTGTCGCGAGTGTACTGCAGTCTCGTCACCCCTCGTCATACCAGGGATTGCCGCGTGTTCCAGGCTCGGCAAGGAGGATCTCGGTGAACGCGGTTGATACTTCAGCATCGTAACCCTTCAGGATCTCCCATGCCTTGCAGACGTTATAACCTTAGTGTCAAGATTCAGAGGTAAGGCGACTGTCTATGCCCCAATTATATGCCAGATGGGTGGATGGGGAGCTTGGTATCACCCTGAGAAGGAAGTTTTGTTTTGCATGTCGATGGTTGAGGGCATGCGACACATAAAAGCGGCAACTTCGAGAGCTCATATTTGGTTGCGCGCGGTATCATCGGCACCGGCATGTCAATGAATTACTTTCAATTCCCACTCAATCCCTCAAGGAACACCATGAAGGGAACATTTGCAGTGCTCCTCATCCTCGGGGTCGGCCTGGCCACGGCCAATGCCATCTCCATTCCCGGGCGCCAGCTGCTGGCAGGTGCGCTAGACATTTCCTCATGCCCTACCTACACTGAGGGGTCTGTGAGAAATGCTCAAGGTCGACACGTGGTGTGTGGGATTATAAGGATGAAGCTGTCGGCAGGTGGTGACCTGGAACCCTAATCCGCAACCCGTCGTAGATTTCCCGGTGGACTGGAAACTCGGCACGGTGTACCCTCCTCTTAACATTACTGTCGGCGACACGGTAAGCGTCCTGTCTTCAGCATTGAGATACTCCCTTGTCAGCTCTCTTCTAAGGTGTTCCCTATGTTCGGTCTGCATGCATTCGTTGCACTGTGCCCGCTTTCTCATCTTACCACACACAGCGTCAAGTCGTGCTGCCCCCAGGTGAAGTGGAGTTGGTCGGGAGGCCCCACACACGACGTTTCCAAGACACCCAGCAGAGAGTGCGGCAACTACACCCTTGTGAGCGACCCTCCCTCCTCCGACGGAAGCTTTTCCAAGACTTTTGACACCAAGGGAACCTTTTGGTATGCTTGCTCCGTGGGGAGCCACTGTGAGGATGGCCTGCGCATTACAGTCTACGTGAAGTGATGCTCTCGGCGTGGGAGTCCTGGAATTTGGGTGGTTTTGTTTGCTCCCGGTATGGGTGACATGTTTTGCATAGCAGCAGGTGTCCTTCCCAAGGGCAGTCCCTCACCCTGTGCCTGGCCTGCCCGAAATTTCCGATCAGAAGCCAAGATTTCTTGCTCTCTTGGTCAGACTACGTGTGTGGATCCCATTGGACCCTTACATTGAAGACCTGCATGCACCTCATAATGTAAATTCGAGAAGAGGTTGTGCACTCAGGGTGTGGGGAGCCGCATCATTGGAGCTACATCGATCCGGCGCGCGCTACATTGCAGCTTGAATCCGGCAACGCATGCACTCTGGACGTGCCCTCCCAATGGCATCGATCTCGATTATGCATCCTCGACGTATCCTCAACTCATACATCTAGGAAGGGACCCCCATCGTACCTTGCTGGGCCGCTGTCCCAGAATCATGGCCGGGTCTGGGTCGGTGACAGTGGTGGACGACATCCAGGAAGCCGAGTCCAGTGAGGAGACTGGGCTTTTCTACAAGTATATCGGCTCGATCGACTCTGGAGCGGCGTTACTAGGCAATGGAACTGGATTGCAAGTCGCGGGCACGTCTGGGGTCCTGGTCTGTCGTCAGGAGAACGGTAAGCGGTATCTGGAGTCTCCTTCTGGCATTTTACCATCCTTGTCATGCATTCAAAGTCGCACAACACCCTCGCACCATCTTCCTGGCAGGGATCGCGGTGGTAAGAGCCTCGGATGCCACCGCGGCAGTCCTCCAGGCCAGGTGAGGGATATGGATGGGGCGAGTCCCCATCCCTTTGCAATGGCGAGTCAATTGCTTTTCCCGCTACCCAATCAGATGAACACTGTGCCTGCTTTACAGGGATGATGGTCTGGACTCCGCCGCATTTCCCTCTCCGGCAGCCCTACTCCAGCACTCACCCAGCGCCAGCCTGCACCTGTCCTCATCCTGCGCATTGCTGGCAGTGGCCGAGCATCGCACTGTCTCGGTGTACTCCACCGCAGCCCTGCTGGACGGGACTCCAGGGCCACCACCTTGCAGAATCGATTTCCCGGAAGAGGTCGAGCTGGTAGGTGGGAGGTGGAGAGATGTCAGCGGGAATCATGCGCAGTTTCGTGCCCTCCAAGCACATGTCGGTGGCGCCGCTCCGGGTGGTGTGAATACCCTTGACGCACCCCTACGAACCCTCCTCGGTCACCCACCGCAGTTTGCGTTCCGGCCTGGCACTCCCCTGGGATATGCCTGCCTGCTGCGGCAAGGGAGCATGTGGCAGGGCATGGTTGGGGCCAAACCTGAGCGCTTGGCTTGCAATCTCCCTGGCCCGGCCACGTGCCTGGCGTGGAGTCCCACGGGCCGTTTCCTGGCGCTGGGGGCCGCCGACACTCTGACCCTGGTTGAAACCGGGACGTGGACCATGCTGCGCACGCTGCGCCTGAGCTCCATCGAGGTGCAGACAGAAGCGACCGCCATCGAGCTGGAAAGCCTGGCCTGGCTGCAGCCAAACCGCATCCTGGTGGAGAGCCGGCTGCTGCAAGGCAAGGAGCTGACATGGATGCTTGCCTAGGGGGTGTGGGTAGATGATGGGTTTTGCAGGTGTGGACCCCATCTTGCTGTGGTTGCTATTCCCACGACAGCTCCCTCATGGCGTGCATCCTCCTCCTCCTCCTCAGTGTCTGAGGCTCAGCCTGTGGCCCCGCTGGGCCTGCTCAGGTGGGAGGGAGAGCTCCCCGACGCCAACAGCGCCCAGTTCTCAGGTCGGTAGAGAGGCATCTATTGGATGAGTGTCACATGGATGAATCAGCAGGTATTTTGCATGGGATTGCCCTGGTTCTCCACATGTTTGGGAGGGTGGGTGTAATGGTGGGCACCCGCCACTCTTCCACCATACTGACGACCCAGCTTTGTGCCCAGTGTCGACACCCCCCTAATGCATTCCTAACCACAGAGTTCTTTGCGCTCAATGTCCTTCCTGATCGGACAGCGGGTGGACTGAGGCTGGCCGAAGTTCCGGGCTGGGGTGCCACAATCTATTCGCATGCTGCGGCAGCAGATGACCACATCAAGGTGGGTGCCCGCATGCGAGGGGGTAGGTTTGCTCAAAGGCACATAGTGACCCAGAGCCTGGGTCAGTGCGATTGTGAAGCCATTGGCTCGCCTGCGTGATGTGGGGGTTTTCAGGAGAGAGGGTGCTGGATTGAGCATTTGTTTGCTCCATTGGGGTCGACAGTCCTGGGGCCATTCCCAGGGGTCAGTCCAGCCACCGGGTTCGTGCTCCTCAACAACCACTCCCTTCACATGAGCAACAATATGCCCTCGCATCCACTACACCAGGTGCTCCTGCTCGAGGACTCTGGCGACCCGGTGGCGGCCGACATCACCGACGACCGTCTTGCCATCCGGCTGCCCAATGCACCCGACGACGGCGACAACTTTGTGACAGGTCTGGGCGTGGACCTCACGGCAGGCGTGCAGGTGGAGGTGTCGCACCCAACCGACCCGGAGGCAGGGGACCTGGGTCCCCAGCCTCTGCTGTGGGTGAGTGATGGAGGGTGGCATCAGGCGCCTGTGCGGGGCCTGGGGCTTGCCAGGTGGGGGCGGTTGGGGGCATGTTTTTCCTGCAAGGTGGGGAGGATGCCGGGTTGATAGGCAGGCATCATGAGGGAGCCAGGTGTTTGAGGTGCGGGGGATCGGACCTGGTTGGCCGGGGAATGACCATGCTAAGCTCAAAAGGTACCATCTCCTCTGCAGGTGGCAACCAGCGACGGCATGCTCCGCGCGTACACCTTTGGGTCGACCGAGGGCCGGCCCAGCGTCGTGCTGAGTGTCGCACAGCCCCTGGAACGCCTCGCGCTGCCTGCAACCTCTGGCGGAACCCGCGAGCTGGGCCAGGACTCCGGTCTGGGTCTGGGCGCCCCGCCCTCAGCCGCCGCTGCAGCAGCCGTTCCGCTGGGAGACGAGAGTGACGACGACGACCTGGAGGAGGAGGAGGAGGAGGATTCCGAGGCTGCTGCTGGCAGCGAGAAGGAGGGAAGCGGGCCAGGCGAGGACGACCAGGACTCGGGCGCATCAAACAGCGAGCGAGAGGTGCGAGGGCCGAGCGGGGCTGCTGGTTGCATCTGCTCGGCTCTGGTAGCTGCCACGGGCCTGCGGTGGTGGGATTGATTCGACTCGTCTGACCAGGCTTGGGTTGTACATCCCAAAGAGCATGCTTGCTCGCTGCCCGGCCCCGCAGGGCTCCTTTGAGCTCGTCTCCGAGCCTGGCGAGGATAGGCCCAAGCTCGGCGGGGCACCCCAGGCAGCCCCGCCCGCCCCCGTGCCCGCGCCCGGCGTGCCTGCGGCGGGCTCCAGCGCCAGCAGCGGGGGTGGGCAAGCCGGGACCCGGCCGTCTGAGCCCTTGCCCTCCACCAGCTCCGGCTCTGGCGGCAGCAGGCCGGCAGCGGCTGGGAACGGGGCCGGCGGGCACCCGCCCCCTGGTTTCGTGGCTGGTGCACCGGGCAAAGGAACAGACGCCCCTCCACCCTCGCCGCCCCTGTTCGCCTTTGCGGGGGGACCCGGGGTCGCGGGTGCCCCGTCCCCCGGCATCTTTGGCAGCATGCCCTCCACGCCCTCGATATTCGGCAAGGTGCCCCAGACGCCCTCCATCTTTGGCCAACCGGCCGCCACCCAACCCGCTGGCTCGCCCTTCCCCTTTGCCGCACCCGCCGCCGAGCCGGTCTCCAGCCTGCGGCCCGTCGCAGGCCAGGCCACCACCCCTGCCGCCGCACCCGCGCCCGCGGTGGCCGGCCCCAATCCACAGCCGCCGCTGCCCTCCGCCTCCCAGGTCAAGGCCGCCGCTGCGCTGCGAGCCAAGGCCCTGGGGGTCCCCGAGCCTCGTCAGGGCGCGGGGGCGGCGACGAGCACTGCGGGTGGCAAACAGGGCGGCGCAACTTTCGCTCCCGTGGCCCGCTCGTCGAGCAGTGCACCCCCTGCACCCCCTGCGCTGTCCGGCAGCAAGGCTGGCGCGGTGCGGAGTGATGCTGCCCAGGGGTCCCAGCCCCAGGCTCCACCCCCGGCGCAGCGCGGCC